ATGTGAGGGGCTTAAACTATTTAATGAGGGCTGTGGGAAGAAAAGCGGCAATTTTTGTTTTCTGTTTCTTTGTTACATTGCTGGTAACTGGAGGGAGGCTGAGGCCCAGAGTATCTTGTACATGTTTAGTTTCTTTTGCACCCTGTTTTGAGTTTTTGAGCTCAATAAATCACCAACACCGGTAACCCGACTGAGACTGGATTCTTGGAGGCCAAAGAACCCCGTCACAGTGACCCAAATCATCACTGTTACTGTTATTATATAGTAAATTAAATCATTACTGTTAAATTGTATGTATTGTCCAATTGTTTATTTGAATTCTTATTCCGGATTAGTTGGAGACATACACTAGGCTATATCAGCCCCACCAAAAATATTTTTCACCAGCCGCCACTGGACCCAAGGGATGTTTGAGACCCAAGCAGCCTAAGAATACAAAGAGCAACATAAAAAACGTGTTTTAATTGACAAGCAAATGAGAGGAAACCGATTATGTCAGCATAAATAAAAGTACTGATTGCAGTTTTCCAAGTGGTGCAACGCTTGAGTAATAAAACAGCAACTCATGCCTCTGTTATTGAAAAAAAAAGGTGGTAGGAAGATTCGCCTGCCACCATCCATCCATCCATCCATCCATCCATCCATCCAAAGCCATTAAACTGAAAAGACAATCTAAACAGAAAATCAAGAGAAAGCGTAATTAACAAAATCATAAGAATTTTTTTTTGCTTGTGCTAGAAATCAGAGGTAAAATAAATTGAATGAAATAAAGATGATCCTGGTAATAATAATAAAAAAAAATTATAATAATCCATTAAAAGTCCATTACGCCTCAGAATCAAGGATTAATTAAATCTGACGTTGGGGTGGACAAACACTCCTTGCTTATATATGCCATATTTTGGGGAGATAACACGTGAGAGGTGGGACTAATGCAAACCTTTTAAAAGCTCCTGATAGAGATGCTCTCAGCAGCAACAGGTCAGATGCGCGTAAAGATGCGGTCTCTTCAAAGACTCCCACTGGGTAAGAATTATTCTGTAGCGCACATTAAACAAATAGCTGAGAAAATTAACATGTAATAAATATTAGTATAACTGTTTTATTTCAGCCTTATTGGTGTGCGCTTTCTTCAGTTTTTTCGGTAAGTATTTATTTCATATTTGAATTAAATCCTAGAACATCTGTTTTCATGTGTGCGTCCTTTGGTGATCTATGCGACTATTGGTTATTTTCTGCGCACATCTGAGAGTGTCTGCTCAGGTAAACGAAAAATACACTTTTTCATTCATTGATTTAGGCTTTTTTTTTTTTTTTTTTTTATGTAAATTTGAATAGGGGGGTGGGATCTCCGTAGGAGTCTGTGGGTAACATTTTCTTCCCTCTAGTAATATGAGAAAAAAAGCTCAGACTTTTCCGCTCGCTTTTTGAGCGCGCTGCAGATGCTTACGAGACGGCGCAGATACAAAGCCAAGCGACGCGTCTGGTACCTTTTTGGACGACTTGCTTCTTTACTAAAGGGCGGCTTTAATCTGAGTGAAAAGGGTGGATGAGGAAAGTAATGCGTGCAGGGAGCGGAGCGGGGGGATGACAGATACCAAAAACGAGCAGCTGTGGCTGCTTTCCAGTATAACCACTGATGCGTCCGTCCTCCGTGCGCTGTGAAAAGCGTGTGGGATGGAGAGAAGAGGAACCGATATTAACTTTGGATGTTTTATCGAAACCGCATATGGAGTTATTTTTAATTTTTCTCCCTGTAGGCCTATGTGGGCGGTGAGTGAGCTTAATGACTCAACGATAATGTGGCAATGCCACAAACCACATTCTTATATCTGTGTGGACAGCTCCTTTTCCCTTTGTTAACCAATTTCTCTGACAATTTTAATCTTTAAGCATCGATTAGTAATAGTTAAGGTCGATGTGTTTCTATTTAAAAAGGACTTCACAAGTGATATTTTTTACACGTTAGATATTTTGTCAAAGAAAACACCTATGCGTAAAACTGCGTTCAAGTCAATGTTAAATCAATCACAGCGTTTGTGAGACTGAGATGGGTTCTTGTTTCTCTTTGCCGTAAAGGTTGTACTGTAGGGATGGGAATTCTTGCTCTTTTTAGAGTTCAAAATATTATGCATTGGCTCCCTAAAGAGATTCGGTGACTCCTCTTGATTCATGATTACAGCATGTTTAAAATAGATGATTGTATCAAACATGTATTTAGATTAAACATCAAAAGCTGGAGCAAGAGCTTCTGAAATACGGTGCAACAAATTGTAAATGCAATAATTTTAGTCAGCTCTTAGTGGACTGTTTTGTGTTTTGCTGAGGTCATAGCCTTTTGCAAAAACTGACTCATGGAACTCTGGGCTGTGGACCTGTGAGGTTGTGATGGCATGGGCGATGTTCTAGATCAGGGGGTCACCAGCCCTTTTAATGCTGAGGGCTACTTCATGAATACTCAGACATAGGGCAACCGATACTAACAAATGAACTGGAGGAGTCAGCATTCACCTAATCTTCATTCAAAATAAACATATTTTTATTGTTTAATTTACAAATTTTCTTTTAGATATTGTCATTTTGAAATCACTATAAATACACCAGCAGATGCTGAGGACCCCCCATGTGGTCCTTGAAGGCTCCAATGGGCATCAATGTGTGAGAGGCACTAGTTGCAGTAGACACTGGAACCTTCAATAGTTGTCTGTTCATTTGCTTGTCTTTTTTTTCTTCGAATTGCACCGATAGATGCATAGTTTGGATATGTTTGTTCAGGTTGTTGGTAGAGACTGCAAGGTGGGACATGTTCACTTTGCAGAACCTACACTCTGCCCTTGCACTTTTTTTGGAGTTAGAATGTGTCCAGATTTTGCTCTGGTGACTTTCACTCTTGATTACAGTGTGCAGCCTCTGCGTGCCTGCCTATCACTGTTGCCCAGGGCTGCTGGAAGTCATTTTGAACAGGGTGTGCTCTGAAAATATATATATTTTTTGTTTGGACAAAAGACCTATGAGCCTATTTTGCTTATTTAAAATACAATAAATAAAAGTAAATAGATTGAGATTCACTACTTTATTGTTATATATACTTCATTGCACGCAACCAGGGACTGTAACACACAGACATCATCAGTTCTAAGGTGTATACGTATATGTGCTATCAATTAAACTTTACAATAACACTATAACAACGTAGATTTGGTCAACTGGCATGAACCTGAGTCACTGTGTTTGTCACATGTGACTCTATTAGCTCCAAAATCATTTTACTCAAACCACAAGGAAAAATTCTATTATACTATTTAAAGATTATTTAACAGTTATAGGCATCCATCACACAAAGAACACAGCATCAAAATATAATACTATGGTTACATTAAAATGCACAAATAGATATGAAAGTGATCAGCCGGACCATGCTCTTACTTTGAGCTATAAGCAGGGTGCCCTGGTTATACGCTGGGTCTGCTGGTGCAACTGCCATCAGAGACGGGTGGACAGTCTCCTCACTCCAGCCATTCTCCATTGTTGTGGTTGCGGTACTACCGTTCTTCTTCACTGGTGCTGGTTTTCCAAAAAAAAAAATTAGAAATGCGTTTCTGTGCCATATTTCGTCCTTGTTTCTGTCAGACTGTAAATTTACTAGTCTGCTGCTGCAAGTGGGATTCTTCTTTTCTCTGTGACCACTAGCTTGCTTTATGTTGCCATGACAATGTAACTTCCGTGAACTTGTGTTGATTAGGTTTTAAAATAATTAAATAAAATCCAAATACATATAACAGTAAAATGAAAAAGGCAAAATACTTTGCACAAATTTTATAAATTTGTGCAAAGTATTTTAAAAATGGTTTTTGAAAATCCCCCTCTGGCATCTAGAGCACCCCCACTTCCTGCGGCCAATCTGTTGCCTAGTAGCAAAAAGATAATTGATTTGGACCCTTGCTTGATCTTTCTGCATCAAGTTTGTGTGTTTTTCTTGTGCATGCATGGCTTCTCTTCTGTACTTTGAATTAAACATGACTGTTAGGTTGATTAGTGACACTCAATTTCCCTACCCTATATTCCCACGGCAAGGGACAAATCTTAACCAAATCACTGTAGTTATTTTAAATCAATAATTCAGACCATCATTTTAGCAAAGGATACATTTTTTCACTGAAGTTACTTTTTGCACAAATGTAAATTAAAAACTTCACATGTTGACCTACTGAGACTTTTGATTATTTTACAGATTCTGTGATGAAAATCCAAGTGGTATCAAGTGCAATGTGAGTTTTCTTTCTGTTTGAATTTTTGCTCATTTGTGTATATGGTTATTCTTAAAGGGAAAATGTTTTATCCTGTCATGAAAACCTATTAGTATCACTGTCTTTTTTTATTTTATCACATAAAAAATCTGTGGGATAATTCAAAGCGTGTCTGGTACAAAAGAGGCTCTCACTAACTGATAGATTCAGAAAACTGTTGCTAAATAAAGAACAAATATTACCAAGTCAAGATGAAGCACACAATAAGATGGCAGCTTTAAAATTGACTGAAAAAGTGGTTTAACCAAGTATTATGCTATAAGCTTGTTTCTTCATTAAGATGGTTTTGTTCTTTCTTGTTAATATGATGATTGTTGTATGTAATTTCTGTTAAAATGCTTCATCATGATCTAAGTTTTGTGCTTTACAAAATGGTAAGGCTCCTGGAATCCCTATGTGGCTGAAAATCTTACATTTTTGTTCTGTGGTAAAGTTAGAAATAGAACTTTTTTCATATTTCTAGGTTAAGTAGTTGAATCAAACTAGTATAATTCATTGATGTTTATGAATGTTTATTGATAGGTGTCACAGTATGCTCTGTACCTGCCATCGTTATCTGTTTCCCCAATGATGGATTATTTAAATGAAAAGCAGATTTTTTTACCACTTCACATTTTTAGATTCACATCACCGAAGTACTAAACTTTTAATGAGTTCTAATATTCATGACTATCATTTGTGTTTTGAATCCAGCAGAACATCCTCCTGTAATGGAACAGAGTATGATACCTCAAAGGATACATGTTGTCCAGTCCACGCTGACAGAAAAAATGGTATTGGCTCTTTTTGTTAGAAACTTGAATTGTATAAAAATTGAGAGCTTTTCAATGAAATGTATTTATATCCCCAATGAATCATGTCACATGATGTGTAAATAGCATTTTCCACATGCTTTTTTAAATCTGAAAGCAGACCCTTTAACATATTGATGCAATTAGTCAATGGAACAAACATAACTATTCCTACCAATTACATTTTGCCTCCTATTACCTAAAAGTATTCATACTCATTTTGTTTATTGTATCAAGAAGGCCAATTATTGGCAATGGCAATGACAAGGTCGTAGTATAGCAATATTAAGAGTTAATGAGTCAAATACTTTATGCAACAGTCTTCCACTGGAGTTGCAACGCCTTTGGCTTCACAGATCTAAATTTTTGAAACATCTTACAGGTTATTCATTTAATTACTACTAAGGCAGGACTGTGCCATTCTTACACAAATGTTCATACAATTATATTTTAAGGGTTGTCCAGCTGCATTGTGAACCTCTGCCACTTTTTCATGTCTTATCAAGCTTATGACAGATACATGTTTTGTGATCTGGCCTATGTTTAGCTCCATCCATCTTCACATCAACTCAATCTGACCCAGTTATCTTACACTGCAAAAAAAAACAAAAACATCCCAACTGCAAGACAAGGTCACCACTTCCTCAGTTGAGAGCTTGTATTTATAATGTGCAGTGTCTCACCAGAGAGTGCTGTTCCAAAACACGCAACATGGCAGACTTTAAAATTAGACTTTCCTTCAAGAAAGTGCTTTTTTAAGCTAGATGCAGTGAAAGGTTTAGTATATAATTTTTCAATTATTATGACACAACTAACAGAACCTTGGGACCCTCAGGGAGCTTCTTTCAAATGTTTTTCTCAAACCCTCTTCACCTCATTATTGCAAAGAGGCAACAAACCTTTTGCGTTATCTACACAGCCAAGATAGTATGTGCATTGGTCCCTAACACTGTATGTCATTATTGATCGTTATAAATGTTACCACAAATATGCACTATACCCACATTTCTGTTTATTTTTAGGAAAAATGGAAAATATATTTGATCTATTTATATATATATATATATATATATATATATATATATATATATATATATATATATATATATATATATATATATATATATATATATATATATATATATATATATATATATATATATATATATATATATAAATATATAAGACAAAAAACATATTTAGTTGTAATTAGTTGTTACTATTATGTGTTTTGTTTTAATGGACCTTTGCTTTTTCAGGTAAACTGACAAAGGGTCTCAGTGAAAGAATGTCTCAGTGCTGTGGGCTAGAAGCTTACAACCCTCTGAATGAAATATGCTGTAATAAAACTGTGAAACCAAAACCTTCCCATGATGCCCAGTGCTGTGGGAATGGTAAGTAAACCTGGAGACATCTAAACGTTTTTATGCAATTCCTTTGGAATATACATTCTCAACCAGATCTTTGGTAGAATTTGGTTGATATTCAGACAAAATGTGAATCCTTTCCACAGAGCCTTACGATCCAAAGATGAAACTATGCTGTAGTGGAAACCCCCAGATCAAGCTTTCTGCTTACCATCGGTGCTGTTATGGAAGTCAGTTCGACCCTCTCATTGAAAAATGCTGTCAAGATAAATTTCCAAGGATACAGCTAAAAATCAGTGATTTTGACAACTGTGGTAAGCTGCTACCGACTGCAACCATTTTGTTTATTATTATTGTTGATATATACATATACATACATTTATCAACATACATATTTTGACACATTTAAAACAAACATCTCTCTAACTGTGATCAAAGGGGAATTCTTAAGGTGACAGGAAGAATAATGTGTATCTAAAAATATTTTTTATATCAACTGAATTCTTCCAATTTAGCATTTTGCTTACTTCCTGTTGTCCACTCCTCATACTAATAAAAAGATGGATGCACTAATAAATGATGGATGCACTATGACATCAACAACAGATTCTTAGGGACAATATTTTTATTCCATTTGAACATCTTTCTTGCAGTAAGCTATATAACAAGCAATAATTAAAATGCATGTATTCCTTCTTTGGAGATTAATACTAGGGAGTTTATGCTATTATTTTGTAATCTTTAATCAACTTTAAAGGATTTTATATGTATATTTACTAAATGTTTACCTTACAGTAAAAAACATCAAACTGGATGGACATCAAAGCACCTGTCAAGGGTATGTAATAACTGATAGTTTTTCAACTTGTGTACCAAATGTAAAGCATGATATTTAAGTTTTTATGTTTACACTTTTATTTTTTTAAGTTAGCAAAATGTAAGCCATTGAAAACATTGGGTCTGATGCAAGAACTGTTTGTATTAACAAATTTGTTGCTAGGAGAAAATGACACATTCACAATTCTTCTCATGTTTCCTATCAGTCAGCTGTTATCCAAACCTAGTTTCTCACTAAATGAATCCATTTTATTATGCTACATCATGTATGCAACTCTGCAATTATATTATTAGTTGCTGATGACAGAATTGTCTGTCAGTACACCTGCAACCGACATGTCGCTATTCAGGGGAAACTGGTTTCATTTGTTGTTTTGTCAAAAGAAGAAACAGTCAGCGAGCTCTATGTGGGATTATTTTACTGCTGAACTAACATCTTAAAAGGAAATCGACAGAAAGTTCAGAAACATGCTATTTGAAACCATTTTAAGGGTAACATTTGGTGCATTTAAGGCTAAATTTAGTTCACTACATGATGCAGCACCTTGGCTTTGTTATCACACAAATGTGGAAAGTTTGGGTTTAAGTCTGTCTGGATTTGTGAAATTAGTTTCAAAGTTGAAATTGAGATTAATTGAATTCAAATGAATTGAAAATTTAAATAAATTGAATTTAGAGAGATGGGAATGGGAAGACAGATGTGGTCTAGCTGGAGATGTACATGTAAGGTATCAGACTGAGGACCCAAAACTCAACCTGACACAGGGGTTGGCAGTTAAAAGATTTATTCACTGAGCTCTGCAGGAAAAGCAGGGAACTGATCAGCAACAGGCGCAGGAACCTCTGGAGAGGAGAGATCAGGTTTCAATGGATCAATAAGAAAATAAAGCCGCTAACTTTCTCAAAGTCCCAAGGGAGGAAAGGTGACTAGGTGTGGGCTCCTAAGAGAGTCTCAGAGAGGCTTGGTCCACCAGTGATGTCACTGTAGCCTTTAAGAGCAAGTGTAACAATACTCAGTTAAAACTAAAGTTCAGAGATGTGCAGAGACTCACTCAGTAAAAGGTTAACCACATTGGATTTCCAAGGGATAGACTGGGCTTGTTAGCCCAGACACCTAAACAGGTTTTTATCAAATACAACTGTCGCTCCAATACCGCGAGGGGACGCCGGATATTTACTTGCCAAGACCCTTCAATAATCTAACACTGTCATGATATATATGTATTTCATTTTGAACTTCCACATCAATGCCTTTTTGCGCTATTTGCATTTAATCACTGCTGCACTTTATGAATGGAAATGTTCTTTTTCACTGCTAAGCTGCTGCTCATTTACTATTGGAAAGCTGTATAAACAAAATGTTGTTTTTTATACGCTGTAGCTAAATCTTCAGGTCTTAATATCAAATGCATGTCTTTCATGCAAGGTGTCTAATCGCTGTAATTGAATCAAATAATTTTCTGAAAGATAAGACAGCTTGAGCTCGCTCTCCTGACTTGTTTTGAAACTCTGATGTGAAATGTACACTGCACAGTTGAGTACTTGCAGTAGGTGCCCAGTCAGCCCTTCAGATGACTGGCAGCCATATCTGATGACGTTCATTCTCTTTTGGTAAGCGGTAATAATTGCCATATAATTGTCACAATAATTGTCACACCCGACGGCTAAACTTATGGGCGTTATCTGTGATGCGCAGGGGACCAGAGCTGGTGCTCAATATGGTCACGGCAAGATTCCAATGTCTGTGACGTCAGCTACAAGGCATCTATAGGTTTTTAATAACATACCAAAATGTATTATGTACAAGCTTATGTGAAAGCTTTCTGCAGCTGAATTTGACCCCCCCTCTGAGACTAAATTAAATACGTTGAAATATGTACAATTGAAAAGGAAGGCATCACAAACATCACAGAAATGGATACTCAAAAATATTTTTTTTCCTTTCCTTTTCATTTAGACCAAGGTGAAAATTGTGGCTTGTTGCAGTATCATGATAACTTTCAGTATGGTATTTATATGATATTAGGTTTTATACTTTTCTTGGATTTTTCCCAATTGATTTTTATTACTTTCTTTTTCCCTACTTCCAGCCAAGAATGCAGGTGTGATGAGGTCAGTGGAGAAACTGAGGTAAAATTATTATTCCAGCACATTTGTGATTGTAGAAATTTTGCCTTTTTATCCATCTCCTCTCTGTAATTTCTATTTTCTTCCTAATCGATATTGTTGTTTTTGTGTTTATGTTAATATAGGTAATAAACGAAAGGTTGTAGTGGAATTGACATTATTAAGTACTAATTTAAGTTAATCGTTTTAAGATGTTTTAACATTCCTAAAGTCTTTCACTTCCTTCTGATGACTCCTGTCTTGTTATTCTTTTACTGAGTTCTGTCCGTAATGTTTATTTAATTCTTCTTTACAACACATGGGTCCAGTAAAAAAGTCCAGTTTGTCTATAATTCCTGAGACATGCTGTCACACTTAAACCTGAGAAAACTTAATACTCTCCACATTACTAAATATAGATGTTTTTCAAGAAATAGTCAGGAAAGACATTTGATAAGATCAAACATTTGTCTTTTTTCCCTTTATACACTGCTTCAAAAAATAAAATAAAAGGGAACACTAAAATAACACATCCTACATACTTTGTTCTGTACAAAATTGAGGTGCCGACAACAAAACCACACAAAATTCATCAATGGAAATCAAATTCATTAACCAATGGAGGCCTGGATTAAGGGTCACATACTCAGAATGTCCTGAAAACAGGTCAAAATGAGTCTCGTGTAGACTGTATTGTGTGGACTTTTGCCCTGTGTCATTTCACTTTATTACAAATAACTTAATTTCTGGACATCTATGGTTTGATCTCTTTGTATGCATGGTTTTTATTGCTTAGTGGGGAAGATGTCAATAACACCTAGAAATATATTTACTGAGACGTGTATCAATACATTGTTCGTATATTTTTATTAAAAATGTGTGTGTGTGTGTGTGTGTGTGTGTGTGTGTATGTATGTATGATTTGTATATGTATATGTATATGTATGATATTATTGCTTCTGATACAATTGTGTTTTATCCAACTTTATATCAGGTTTGCTGTAAGAGTACGACTGAGAAGTTTGTGTATCTTAAGAAGGATGGCTTCCAATGCTGTGGTCATCACTACTACAACACTTCTTTGTGGACTTGCAACAGCCCAAGTTACAAGCTAAGCCCCAGGCTGACGGTATTTGGTTATTCTTATACGTTTCCTAAAAGGGCAACAATCATTATTTTTTAAAAGTCAGGTTTTACATTGTTTCATTCAAATGTATTTGATCTTCTTTTTTTTTCTTTCTTGATTTTAGAAACTGAACACCTGAAAGGGAAACAAAGGCATTACTGATCTTGATTTAAATCATAATTTTTATGCTCTAGACATTGCTTTAGCCATTTATTTCGTATAAGCTCTTATCTGATTAAATTTTTTTGTATTTCTTTTCTTTAGGATTCATCGGTTAACCTATGCAGACAAAAAAATGGCTGCTGCAATACTTTCGCCCAACACTATGAAAACACCTGAATGAAATGCATCTCTAAAACTATAAAACATGGATGTCTTTAATGTGACTGTAATTTATTTCCTAACCCTGATTCCAGTCTTGCATTCAGCATTTAGTAGGTTCCCGCTGTCTGGTACCTCATGCTACATAATTAACTTTTTATCTGTCATTTTGACATAGCTAAGGACTTGTTTGCTTTCCAAAGCCAAAGAACCAGTTCTACACAATGTTACAAAAAACACGAATGCTTAACAATTTTTTAACTGTATTTGAAATGTATTCAGAGGATTGCAACACAGGTTTATAGTTTATGTATTCAAATGAATGTTTTTTTCTTTTCTTTTTTCCTTATATATGCAAATGCTTTCATTTTGAGTGTGGTTTTAAACCAGCCAGTTGTTTTGAATGTGCTTTAAAGCCAGTTGGATCTGTAGGACTAATGTTGCCTTTGATATATCTTGTAACTCTAAGATGGAAGTGACACCTACGATAAGATCACTATGCTTTCAAGTCAGGAAACCGTGACATCTGATAATTGTCCTGTGTTAACAACCAAATAATCAGATAGCATTTAAAAATGTTTTTTTAAGGACAAGGAAGTGTTTACATTTAAATATTTACAGTACTGTGTCTGCCACTGTTTACCAAGATGCATACCAATCTAACTTTTACTTTGTTTTTACATAGACGTAAATATAGAACAAATAAGCTCTGATCTGCTCAGTAAAAAAAAAAAAACAACTTCAGGGCGTTTTTGTTGTTTTTATGGTCTGGGATCTATAAACTCAGATTAAACAAAATGAACCAATATTTTTATTCACATGGCTATAATGAAAAAGTCTAACAAGCTTTGCAAATGGAGTCATTAAGTTTAATTATGTGAATTATGCTTTATCAAACAAATGTGAGCTAAGCTATATGTAGATGATAAAAACAATTTACAGAATGTATAGGAACATTTTAAGCCATTCAACTGATCATCATAATAAATATTAATAATTATAATAAATTCTATATAATATAATAATTATATTTATAATATAAAGATAATTTTTAGGAGGCATATTACAATGTAAAGTATCTCAAAGAGTTCTCCCTCTTATTTTCTTTCCCTTTTGTATACCATTCTTTCTTCTGTGTCAGAAGAAAGAATGGTATGGTATACAGGTGCTGGTCATAAAATTAGAATATCATGAAAAAGTAGATTGATTTCAGTAATTCCATTTAAAAAGTGAAACTTGTATATTATATTCATACATTACATACAAACTCATATATTTCAGATGTTTATTTTGTTTAATTTTGATGATTACAAATGACAACAAATGAAAATCTCAAATTCATCATATCAGAAAATTAGAATATTACTGAAGACCAATAAAAACAAAGGATTTATAGAAACGTTGGCCAACTGAAAAGTATGAACATGAAAAGTATGAGCATGTACAGCACTCAGTATTTAGTTGGCCTGTATTACTGCAGCAATGCGGCGTGGCATGGAGTCGATCAGTCTGTGGCACTGCTCAGGTGTTATGATAGCCCAGGTTGCTCTAATAGTGGCTTTTAGCTCTTCTGAATTGTTGGGTCTGGTGTATTGCATCTTCTTCTTCACAATACACCATAGATTTTCTATGGGGTTAAGGTCAGGAGAGTTTGCTGGCCAATTAAGAACAGGGATACCATGGTCCTTCAACCAGGTACTGGTAGCTTTGGCACTGTGTGCAGGTGCCAAGTCCTGTTGGAAAATGAAATCTGCATCTCCAAAAAGTTGGTCAGCTGCAGGAAGCATGAAGTGCTCTAAAACTTCCTGGTATGTGGCTGCGTTGACCCTGGACCTCAGAAAACACAATGGACCAACACCAGCAGATGACATGGCACCCCAAACCATCACTGACTGTGGAAACTTTACACTGGACTTCAAGCAACGTGGATGAAGTGCCTCTCTTCTTTTCCTCCAGACTCTGGGACCTTGATTTCCAAAGGAAATGCAAAATTTACTTTCATCAGAGAACATGACTTTGGACCACTCACCAGCAGTCCAGTCCTGTTTCTCTTTAGCCCAGGCAAGACGCTTCTGACGCTGTCTGTGGTTCAAGAGTGGCTTGACACAAGGAATGCGACAGCAGAAACCCATGTCTTTCATACGTCTGTGTGTGGTGGTTCTTGAAGCACTCACTCCAGCTGCAGTCCACTCTTTGTGAATCTCCCCCACATTTTTGAATGGGTTTTGTTTCACAATCCTCTCCAGGGTGCGGTTATCTCTCTTGTACACTTTTTTCGACCACATCTTTTCCTTCCCTTCGCCTCTCTATTAATGTGCTTGGACACTGAGCTCTGTGAACAGCCAGCCTCTTTAGCGATGACCTTTTGTGTCTTGCCCTCCTTGTGCAAGGTGTCGATGGTCGTCTTTTGGACAACTGTCAAGTCAGCAGTCTTCCCCATGATTGTGTAGCCTATAGAACTAGACTGAAAGACCATTTAAAGGCTTTTGCAGGTGGTTTGAGTTAATTAGCTGATTAGAGTGTGGCACCAGGGGCCATCAATTTTGAACCTTTTCACAATATTCTAATTTTCTGATATGATGAATTTGAGATTTTCATTTGTTGTCATTTGTAATCATCAAAAGTAAACAAAATAAACATCTGAAATATACGAGTTTGTATGTAATGTATGAATATAATATACAAGTTTCACTTTTTAAATGGAATTACTGAAATCAATCTACTTTTTCATGATATTCTAATTTTATGACCAGCACCTGTAGATTTAAAGTGGGCTTTCAAATGCCTTGAAAGTATTGGTTTTAAGCTGCAAGAGTTGAATCTTTTGGTGTTGTAAAAAAACTTGGAGACATACAGAAACTGCCACTAATTTAGAGTTGACAATATATTTTTTCATCCATACGGCCTATGGATAATTACAACATACAATACCCTGCCTACCTTTAAGATTTACTCAGTAATTCACACCAGGAATAACTTCTTAGTCCCTGTATAACATATGTAACCTGAAAGTCTTCTGTCTGTTCTTTTTGTCATCTTCTTCCATTTCACATCCAGTTCTGATGTTTTTAAACAAATGTATTATTATCTGCACCATATATAACTCCATATTCAGCAATGTTACTTCTAACCCACTTTACAGTAACAACAATTCAGATTTTGAAAAAAAAAATCTTTAGCAGTAAAACTGATGTTCTACTAGTTAGAAAGTATTAAAAAAAAAAAAAAAAAACTCTCCATTATAAGTGTATGGGGGTGCTAAGCTAAGCAATCATACATGTACTCCTCGTGGCATTTGACAATTTCAATAGACCACTTAACTTGCTTAGATATTTTTGGACTATGAGACAGCAGCTGTGCTATATAAATAAGCTAAACTGTTGTGATTTAAGGGTGCCATTTTTAGATATATATTTTCTTACAATGTTATTTCCTACATGTTTTATCTCTATGTTTTATCTTTTCTTTTTATGTGTATGCTTTTCTTACTCCAAAATAAAAAATCTCATAGTATGCAAGGGATTTGTTTTACTTTGACTTTATTCATGATTCAGCTAAACATTAATGTTTAATAAACTATTTTCAGGAATTTGAATGTACTGTAGCCCCATGTTTTTTTTTTTTTATTTGTCAAAAAAACAACAACTCAGTTTTGATGTTTTGCATTTTATTCTCTTTGTAACAGCTAGCTTTGAACTCTGTAAATTTAGTTGCTCTGAACATTTCTTTGCAACTGTATATGTACTGTATGCGGGAGTGAGAAACATGATGCTCAAGGTTCTTTTTCTGAGAATCATTGTTTTCGGGACAGTAATTTGTATGCTTATTTTGTATGCTATTTTTGAAATAAAGTTTTTTCTAGTATTAAGCTAATTGTGTTGGATCTTCATATTGAGGCCCTACAAATCAGTTGAGCTTTTCTGTAACTGCTAGCATAAATTAAAATAATATTTTATCATTGCTACAATGCTTGCAAAACATTTTCACCTTTTGGGCACCATTATATTTTTAAAAGGATATTTCATAATCAAATAACAAAACAAGTAATATGCAGTGGAAGACATTTAAAATTTATAGATTTCCATCACTCTTTACTCTGATAGTTAAGTATAGTCTAGACTATATATATATAGTATATATACACACACCCTTTTTTATTCACTGTAAAATAGCAAATTTGTAAATAACTTAAAATTTTTGGTATGTCACTCTGTGGAAGGTTATTTTTTTAGTTTTATCAATATGGCAGAAGTGAAAAAAGAAAAATTTGTACCGATATATTTACTATCTGCTCGACAAATCAAGCAAAACTCTGAGAATCGGCTTCTTTGACTCAGCCTCATTTTACAAGAGAAGCAGAAGATACAGATTGATTATTTCATCTGGGTTTTTAACTCCATGAAAAATTAACCAGGTGTTAAACTGAGGACAAACAGCAGGTCACTACAGCTCCCATCTCTTATTTTCATTAAGTACAGCTCATATAAAGACTCTCCTGTTGTCTAATGTATGAGAGATCGGTGAGAGCTTATTACAGAGAGCCAGTTGGATGAAATTCTCTAATGTAAGCAATACAAAGGAGATCATAAATCATAGCAGAAACATGCAAATAGCACAAATACCTCATTCTTCACATAAAAGATCGTAATGTAGCCCACCGAATTTCTTGAAGTAGTACGGGTATAATTACAGTTCTTTTTAAAATAATTTTACAATGAACATTAAAAAATAAATTTTTTTTTGTCATGATGACCATGTTTTTCGTCTGATGATCTCCAGCACTTTTAAAAAGTTAGGAGTGCAAGGCTTGTGGCTGGTAAGTAGAGGACTAACAAAAAATAGACAAACAAAAACAATGACTTTTCTCAAGTAAATTTCCGAAGTAGAATACATTAGAATAAACACCATACATGGAAGACACTAGGACCACAAAAAAAATCATCAGTGTAGGTCAATAGATAAGCTATAAATATTTCCCCAATGATTTCACTAAAACTGTATTTGTATTTATTTTTCTTGGACATTATCAGATAAAAAAAAAACCCTGTGTATTCCCCTAATTGGAAAAACTTCCTCCGGTAGGAAGTTTTTCATTCATCCACCTATAGGAGAATGGGTTTTAAACATTCTGGCAATTCCCCAAATGATGTAATTAGAAAACGTGCATTTTAAAGTAACAATGAGGTCATGCTTTTAGTTTGGGATCAACATGGTTGTAGGTTTACGATAAACATTTAGAGATTTACAGATCAGCATAAAAAAAACCAAGAACATAGAGCACATGGATTCAAAATGGTAGCAAGCAGCCAGGCACTTTTTCTATGGGGTTGTGAAGGCTGCTGCCTGCATCCCTGGTAAGACCAGGAAAATGTAACACATCACCTCAGTTCTACAGTCATTACACTGAATCCTAATATTGTTCAGATGCAACCAGCTCCATCATTGGTGGGTTTCATTGTGCTCACACATAAGTGTATGCAGTCTGAATAAAAAATATGAAAAGTAACTCAATAATAAAACATTAATTCCTGATCAGGGTGACTTACTAAACAGATAAGACATCAGGGTTAAAGGAATAGTACACCCAAAACATGATTAGCCTTCATTTTCTACTCACCCCCATGCTGAACAACACTCTGGAGTACTTTTTTGATATCTCAAATGCATCTGGAGATCTGGGAGGCTTCTTGCTGTCTGCTGATTTTCAAATAATGGAGGTCTAT